TATTCCAATTTATCAACTGAAGTCACATTTCTCATACCATTCAAAATTTTGAAATAGTTACTGGGTAGGAGACCCATAAAATCATTCTGCGCAACATCAATGATTCTCAACTGAGGGAAGTAAAATGCAGGCATAGAATTGTTGATGGCACCATGAAATCCATTAGATCGAAGGATGAGAACTTTTAGCGATGGAAGAACACCTAACCAATGTGGAAAGGTATCATTCAAGTTGTTGTTCCCAACATCTAGAATTTCCAAGTTACTGCAATCAACCAAAGACCGAGGTAGTATCCCTTCCAATTGGTTGCCATTTAGGTTAAGAGTTCTCGGGTTACTCGGGTTGATAAAAGAATTTGGTATTCTGCCATGAAACTTATTCATCCGCAGATCCAAGAAGGCGAGATTACTCAAGTTTCCAAGACATTTTGGAATTTTTCCTCCCAAACTATTATAAGCTAAATCCAGAACTCCAAGAGAAGTCAAATTGCAATAGGAAGAAGGAATTTCGCCATTCAAATTGTTCCTTGAAATGAAGAGTTGTTGCATAGAATCCCAAGTTGTTGATAGAATGGGAAGTGATCCTTGTAGTACATTGGATCTGAGGTCAACAGTTATAAGATTTCCAAAACCAAATGAATCTATACCAGTCAACAAGTTATAAGAAAGGTTTAAGGTCTCTAATGACATCCCTTCTATTTCCCTTCTGTGAATTTGACCAGAAATCTTGTTCTTGGAAACATCCAATAGTGTCAAACTCTCTGCCTTCCTTAAGAAACTTGGGAACTTGTGTATGTTGCAAGAAGAGAATTTTAAAGACGAGAGGTTCGGAAAGGAATAGTTGACGGTAGTGCCATTATTGCTCAAAGACAGCAAACTATTATGGGAAAGATCAAGTTCCTCAAGGTCTACAAGCTTCGAAAGCATGTCGGATGTAATGGTGCCACTTAAGTTATTTGAAGAAAGGTCAACTCCAGTGAGATTCACAAGATCAAAGAAGGAGCTAGGAATTGAACCACTTATCTCATTATTGGACAAATAGACTTGTTGTAAAGTGCAACTAGGCATCTCAATATGATCAATAGGTCCGGTAAGTCTATTGTTTTGGAGGTCTAAATAGGATAAAGAAGGCAGAGAAAACAACCAAAATGGTACACGACCTGTGATGAAATTATTATTCATTCGAAACTCGGGTAAAAATGAGAGTCCACTTATATTGGGAGGAAGAGGACCTTTTAGCTTATTTGATGACAATGTCAGATAAGTAAGATCGGTGAGATTGAATATTGAAGTAGGAATTTCACCGCCAAAACTATTATTAAAAAAGCTCAAATAAGTTAACTTGTGCATTTTTCCAAAAACATCTGGAATTTGCCCTTGCAGAAAGTTGGAATCAAAATTTAATTAAGTTATCTTGGTAAGATTTGCAAGAGATGTAGGAATTGATCCATAAAATTGACAGTAATTAAGGTTCAATTCCTTTAGGAGTTTAAGATTTCCAATTGAATGAAGCAACTTTCCTAAGAAGTTTGTGTTTGCAAGAATCAAATATTCGAGGTTACTACTCTGGTTTGACTCAGGCAAATTACCTCCTAAATCAGAGTTGTAGCTTAAATCAAGAACTTGAAGAGATGGAAGCTGAAAAACCTGGCTTGGAAAGTTTCCTTGCAAACTACAATCACTAAGGCTCAAATGGTCCAAGGAGGAAGTCAAGTTTAGCAGGGAAGAAGGCGCAACTAGAGACATATTCACAGAATCAAGGATAAGAAATCTTAATTCTGTTAAGTTATGCACAAGCATTTGAAACTTTACGTTGTCAAGAAGCAAACCATAATTACTGGAGAGATCGAGTGAAACCAATTTTGATAGCAAGGAGATCTCATCAAACAGGAGAGAGCCATCCATGTATCCTATATCTGCAAGGTTAAAGCTTTGTCGTATTAGAAGAAGTGAAACCAGTTTTGGAAGCATGGAGATCTTAAACAAAAGAGAAGAAAGTGAAATATCGTACTTGAGAGATTAAGATATGTCAAACTCTTCCAATTATGGAACCCCAATGATATATTGGGGTGGTTAAATTCATTATGAGCAAGGTTGAGGCTCTGCAACTTCTCAAGGAGGAGAAGACTACTATTTGTAGTTAGATCGGCCTCAAGACAATTACTGCTAAGATCAAGGCCAACCACGTGACCTTTCGGCTTGTCGCATGTGATGCCCTCCCACAAGCAGCAGTCTTTACTCTCGTTCCAAGTTTGTATTATACGACGAGGACCACCAAAACAGTATTCGTTGAAGTTAGTAGTGCTTTTGAAATCAAGCAATGCAGAACGCTCTTCAGGACGGCACAAATGTGGCGGTGAATCAACAGAAGATTGAGAAGGTGAGGAGCTTTGGACTCGAAACTGTAACAACATGAAGGAAAGGCAGAGGATTAGGGAAAACCATATTAACCTTCCCATTTTCTTAAAGACGAACACAATTTAGCGAACGAAGGAGGGACGGATTATTCAAAATTGAGGTGCTGGACACCAGTATTCATCGTCTTCCTAAAAGTGAAAGGTCTTCGGCATCTTTGTGGGGTTCAAGTCAATTGTCGTTCCTCTACTTTCAAATTTTGTTCATAACCATCCCTATACTACAGATTTGTTCATTGTCACCCCTCTACTTCCAAATCACACCAAATGTCGTCCCTCTACTTCCTTTATTTTGTTCATTGTCATCCTTTTCTTGACGCCGTTTCTACATCCGTTAATTTGGACCGTTAATTGAATCATGGTTGGCAGTTAAAAACTTAAAATTATTTTTCATTATTTTTTTGCCACGTGTTGCAAACTTGGGGTTTAGTTGAGGCCAATAGTTTTATATTTTGGTTTTAAATCAGATCTCTCTTTGCTATTGTTTTTATTACTTTAATCTTTCCTCTTTTTTTTTTTTTATCAAAACACCACCACCTACGGTGTCAATCTGCAAACATAAAAAAATTCATGAAATAAAAAACCATTTTTTATTTTTATATATTAATTAAAATCAAACAAAAAAAACTGTGAATTAGGAAATTGAAAAAATGCTAAAAATGTGAAGAACTGTATCTTAATTATCTATGCATGGAAATATAAAAAATGCCTTTTTAATCTACCTAAGGATGTAAATTAATAATACTTGTTTTATCATAAATGTATATATTTTTTTGTTTCTTTTTAGTAAACTTAATTTTACTTTTTAACTTTTTAAATATGAATTTCAAATAAAAATTTAACAATTCATATAAATAACAATTGAAAATTTTTTTTCTTCCTACATGAAATTTTTATTGAGTACTTTTATTTGATAAAAAAATTTTAATTATAATTTATATAATATGTTAAATTTTGATCTCAAATTCATATCTGAAATGTTAAAAAGTTAAACTAGGTTTATTAAAAATGAATGAAAAGAGTAAAAATGTCAAAAATTGATGTTAATTTTAGTATTAATACCGTGTATACGAATTTAATTAAATAATTAATAAATTAAAAGTTAAATTTATATTTTTAATATAAATTAATAACAAAAAATACATATTTATACACTCTTAACATGTTTTTTTAATAACCCCAATCTGAGGACTTGTTAAGAATGTATAAATATGCATTTTTGTTATTAATTTATATTAAAAATATAAAATTTGACATTTAATTTATTAATTATCCAATTGAATTCATACACATGGCAATAACACTAAAATTATTGTCAAATTTTAAATTTTTACTCTTTTTGTTTGTTTTTATTAAACATAATTTAAGTTTTTGATTTTTTAAATCTAAATTTCAGATAAAAATTTAATATATTATATAAATTATAACTAAAATTTTTTTAATCAAATAGAAGTGCCGAATAAAAATTTCATATAGGAAGAAGAAATTTGTCAACTGTTATTTATATAAATTGTTAAATTTTCATTTAAAATTCATATTAAAAAATTAAAAGTCAAATTAAGTTTACTAAAATGAACGAAAAAAATATATACTTATGACAAAAAAGTATTCTTAATTTGTATCCTTAGACAAATTAAAATTTTTTTTTTCATATTTTCCATGCATAGATAATCGAGGTACTTCTTCACCATTTTAGCTTTTTTTCATTTTCCTAATTTATAGTTGTTTATTTTTGTTTGATTTTAATTAATATATATAGAGAAAAAAGGATTTTTTTTCTCACGAATTTTTTGATGGATGCAAATTGGCGTCAAAGGTGGTGAATTTTTTTGATAAAAAAACAAGAGTTAAAAGTAATAGGAGCAATTAAAAACATAGATTTGATTTAAAATCAAAATATAAACCCAATGGCCCCAACCAAACCGCAAATCTACAGCACATATGTCAAAAAAAAAAAAATAACTTTAACTATTGACCGTGATGCAATTAACAGTTCAAATTAACGGATGTAGAAACAACGTCAAGAAAAGGATGACAATGAACAATATAAAGGACGTAGAGGGACGGTTATGAACAAAATTAAAAGTAGAGGGAGGACAATTGACTTTAACCCCTTTTTTGTGAGTTACGTGTAAATTTCTTTGGGTTTGGGTTAAAGCCAACTGTAGTCTTCATACTTTTCAAAAATTTTCATTACCATCCCTCTACTAAGGAAATGTTCAATGTCACCCCTCTACTTGGCATAAAGTATAAATGTTGTCCCTCAACTATACTTTTTTGTTCAATGTCATCCTCAATTGGATGCCGTCCATATTACCGTTTACGTTAATCGTTAATTGCTATAACAGTCAAACATTCAAACTATTGTTTACTTATTTTTTGTACACTAGTACTCACTAATGGGATCAGTGGAACCCATATCATGCATTTCGTTTTTTTTTTTTTTGGGTTACGTTATCATCAAGCAAGTTACAGAA